TCCTGTCTCAGTTGAGAATAAGAATCTCATATTTAATTGATTTAGATCATACTTCTCTTTCAATCTGACTCTGAGACTATTGTATAATGCACAGTGCATTACAATATACTCAGAATTCTCATTTGTATTGCAGAATGAGCATTCTATTGAGTCAAATCTATCATCAAATCTTTGTATATAAGATTTGAAATAGCCATGTTCTAATTTCAGGTGTATTATAGATGAGAATATTTTCTTTTTACATTTAATTGAACAAGATTTTCACTTGGATTTTGTTTCAAATCTTGAATAATGTATACTCTTCTTTTGTTTCTGCCAGCTTTCATTTCACTTGTCTAAACAAGATTCTTTTATTTTTCTCTTTATAAAAGACTAGAACATAATTTTTTGAATAGATCTGCTTAATTCTGCACCCTTTTTTGCAGCTGAATCAGTCAATTCATTGTCATGAATATTCATATGAGCAGGAACTCAGTGCAGATGAATTATCAGCTTTAATATTCTTCTCTTTTGAATTTTCAAAACAGAGTTTAAGATCAGTTCAAGATTCATTTGATTATTATGAATCTGACTATTTCTAAGTCTTTTTAAAGCAGCTTGACTATCAGAGAATATTCATGCCTCTTTTAAACAATTTCCTCTTTTATAAGATTTTCTTTCAATGAGTTTGAAAGCTTTCACTATTGCAAATAGTTCAGCATCAAAGACTTCATATTCAGAGTCTAGATTTCAGAAATCTGAGATAAAATTGATATTATCTTCAGTATAAGCAATGCCTGCACCTAATCTATTCAAGTTCTCATTTTTTGAGTCATCTGAATAAATCAGAATAGAGTCTTTTATATTGATTGTAGAAATTCTCTTCAAATACTGTTCATATTCTTTCTCTTTTAATAGTTCACTTATTTGTAAGTCTATAAGAGATTCAAGCTTTTCTCTTCAGAGAGATAACTTCTTATGATCAACTTTTTCAATATTTAAAGAAGAAAATTAATTTTTAATCAGAGAGTATAGTCTGTACAGTTGAGAAGACATTTTCTTTGAAGAAATATTTTCATTTCAATCAAGAAATCTATTTCAATTCAGTTCATTTCCAGAGTTAATTGATGAAAATGAAGAAGAGACTCTTTCTCTGATTATATGATTTGAGCTCATCTTTACAACTCTCAGAGCATAGTTCATACAGGCTTTTTCAAATCTAATAGCAGAAGGAGGAATTGAAGCTTCAATTTCCATTGCTTTAATAAAAGATGATTTGAATGCTCTCAGAATTCTTCTCAAGGCTCTATTTTGCAGACTTTGAAAGAGTTCAGTGAAATTCTCTTAATTATTTTATCAAACTTGAACTTCATAATCAGCTACTGATGTAATACAGGCTATATATAACTGTCTCATAGACTGGAAGAATAGATCTCTCTCTGTATTTAATAGTCTGATTATGTTGTTCAATAGTCTTTCTGTCTTGACAGTTCTTTGTTGAATGTAATATTTAAAATTCAACTTGGAGTTTAACCATACTTCTAATCATTTGATATTTACACTGGGTTTAATCTCTCTATTTAAAAGAGTTAGAGATAGTTCTTTCTTATTGAATCTAGAAAAGAAGTGAATTAACTCAGTTTTATTCATATTAAATTGAATTTGATTGATATCTGCTCTAACAAAGATTTTCTTTACAGCTTCTTCAATTACTTTCAAATTCTCTTTGATAGTTTTTGAGCTGTAGACTAGATTAATATCATTTATATAACTCAGAGATTGCACTATTCTCATATTTCTATTTTTAAATAGATATGCAGTGTATATTGTAAATAAAATAAGTGAGATTGAAGATCTCTGTGATACTTCTATTTTTATCTCAGTCTTATCTTATTTCATTTCATCAAAGAAGAGTTGTATAATTCTTTTAGATATAAAACAGTTAACTCATTTTATTAGAGAAAGTGACAGTTTTAATATCTTCAATATCTGAATTAACTTTGACTTTAAAACATGATTAAATACTTCTTTTATATCAATAAAAACTGCAGTTGAGACCAGACTCTCATGCTTTGCTATTTGAATATTATGAATAACTGAGAGAACAGTGTCAATTGTAGAACACTGTTTTCTATCTCTCATTTATTCACTGAATAAAAGAGAATCATCTATAGAGCTTATAAAAGATAGTTGAGTAGCTATTATCTTTTCTAAAATCTTTCCTAGACAGTTCAATAGAGATATTACTCTATATAACTTAGAAATTAAAGTTTTTCTATTAGGTTTTGTAAGAATCACTTCAGTGGCTTCTCTTCAGCATTCAGAATAATATTCATTTTTCAAGAGATTGAAAAAGAGCTGAAAATATTCATTCTTTAAGTAGGAATATGTATTTTGAATAATCAAGTGATTAATTGAATCAGGACCTGCAGCAGTTTTAACAGAGCTTGAGAAGATAGCTGACTCTAATTCATCTTGTGTAAGATCAGGCCATTCTCAGTCATTTTCATCAATGTAGTTAAGAAGTGATATATTCTCTTTCTCTGAATCTGAATCTGAATCTGGTGAGTTCTGAAAGAGAATTCTTATAAAAACTTAACATTTTTTCTCAAAAGAGTTTGCTATATATAATTCATTCTGAAACTCATATTCTAAGACTGGAAGTTTTGCTACACTTCTTGTTTTAGTATAGTTAAAAGCTTTAAAAACTTTCTTCTCTTATGCTTCTTCAAGAAATTTATTCCAGCAGTCTGTTTTAACTCTTTTAATATCTGAAAAATATTCATTTCTGACAGCTTTGAACTCTTCATTAGATATTATATCATTCTTTCAATCTCTTCTAGCAGTAGCTAATTCTTTTCTTTTAGATAAGATATTCTCATTTCATTAAGATTTTGAATACTCAGAAGATTTTCTTTTTGAAATATTATCTCTAACACTTGTTAGAATAATAGATGTAACAAGCTTCACTCTATTCTCAAGTATTTCATTTGAGATATCTTGACTGAAATTTCAATATAGCTTATTCTGTCTTTCAGATTTTAACAGTTTTATACTTTCTTCAACTGCTTTTCAATCAGCTTTTTCAAAGTTATACTGATTAGAGAGAAGAGGATTTTCACTCATTTGTTTTTCACTCAGTTTAATATCAAATTGAATAATCTCATGATCTGATTCTGATGTCTCATTTGAATTAATAAACTAGTTTATAAGTCTTCTTTTCATTAGATTTTGTGATATGAAGATTAGATCTATAATAGACTTCTGTTTCATATCTTTTCTAAAGAATGTTTGTTGATCAGACTTATTAATCAAATCTATTGAATGCTCAAAGATTCATTCAATCAGATTATCAGCTCTCACTACTCTCTTACATTCTGAATTTCATCAGAGATAATGTGTATTGAAATCTTCTACAATTATAGAGTTTCTTAATAGAGTTATATTCAGAAATCCTCTATCAATTGTTCAAATATTGTTATTTTTCTTCAATGACTTTTCATTATAGATATTTATAAGCTGTATAGTATTAAACTCATTTTCTTTATCTATAATATCACTCACCAGAATATCAGGGTCAGACATGATATCAAATCTTAGATTAAATTAATATCTTGATTTCTTTCTTTCATAGATTACTACTCTTGACTTTATCTCAGACTTTTGAAATAGAAAGCAGTAGTAGCTTGAATAAGAAATGATGTAATTTTACTCAGCATCAAAATTCAGTTTCTGAAGTAGTATAAAATCAACTTTTTATTCAAATATAATTTGAAGACAGAAATAAATACAATTTGAGTTTCTATTCACATTATTTTAAATAAATGTGATTTTTAAAGAGTTTTTAAACTTTTTTTATTGTTTTTGTTGTATATTCATACTAAAAGAGAGTAGAGATAGAGTAGAATCTAGTCACTATCATTAGATAGTAGATTATGACTATTTTGAAAAGTAGAAATCTCAACTGCTTGCATTATATCTAGTTTATCATCAGAGTCATTTCTCAATTCTTTAATCTTAATAGAAGTTTAAGAATTCAAATTCTGTTTATATTTAGCTGAAGAATTAAAGTTTGAAGATTTAGATAATTAAGAGTTTCTTCTTTTTAAGCTTTCAGTTATAAGTCTACTGACTTGACTCTTCTCTTCAGTTCTAGATTGACTTTGAGCTTCATCTTTTCTCCAGTTCTTTTGAGTTCTAGAAGTAAACATACATTCTTTTGAGCTAGATGCATGTTTTTCTTTGCAATTAGAGCACTTAAGCAGAGTGTATTGATATATTTCATCTCTTTTTGAGCATGTTTCACATTTATGCTCACTAGTTTTGTGATCTCTGATACAGAATGCACATTTTGAGTCTCTAAAACATGAGATTGTAAAGTATTCATATCTTTGACAGTTTGAACACTGTGTTTGAGCTTTGAGATTCATTCTTGAGTCTTTGTATTCATGAACTCTCATTTTCAAATCTACTACTCTTACTTCAGAGATCTTTGACTGTTCAAGTGTTTTTATATATACTAGAACAGAGGCATTTCTCCTGCTTTATCTGAACTCAATTGAATTTAGTTATACAGGCTTCTTTCTTAGTTGAATAGAGTTGTATTCTTTCAATTCATTTTTAAGAAGTAGCATTTCTTCTTCACAGTCAAAAATTTTGACTGAAATATTATAAAGAATAAATTTGTCTCACTTTTCATCTCTTTCAGATAGAATTATTATGTTTAACAAAGATTCTACTGCTGACTTTCAGAGATTCTCATTCTGAATAAGAAATTCAGCACTGAATTCAGACATTGTAGTCAGAATGATGAAGTTTTCAAAGAATGATAACTCAATTGAAGCTATAACTGATTTTTAAACTTCAATATCAGTTATCAACTGTGAAAAGAACTGCTGATTAATTTCATTTCTGATTCTGAAAATGAGATTTGAGTTTAGCTTGTTTCTTTACAGAATGTTCTGATTTGAGACTTTGAGAATAAGTCTTCTATTTCTGAAGATTTGAAAGTTTTTCTCTTTTTACATTTTCTTTTTCACTTTTCTATGAATAGAGACATGAGCAGTATTCTTCTCAGTTTTCTCAGGATTTTGAGCAGGTTTTGAGATAGCAGGTTTAGAGATAGCAGATTCAGCTGCTTGAGCATATGTTTTCTTCTGATTTAAAGAAGAAGAAGAAGAAGAAGTAGAAAAAAAAGAAGAGTAAAATAAAGAGTCAGTAATTATACTAGAAATTTTCAATATTTTTAGAACTGTGTTTAAAATTCTAAGCTTGAACTTAATCATCTTCTGTAGTTGTCTAGTCTGAGCATGAAGAATTAACAGAACTTCTTCATTCATCTCACTCAGACACTGCTTTTCAAGAATCTTACTTACTTTTTCAAGTTTCTGTATTTCAAGAACTTGTTGTTTCTCTATTTCTTCTTTCTTTCTTCTCTTCAGAATTTCAATCTCAGAAATAGCATTTGAGAAAGCATCTTTTTCCACATCAACTGAGTGTATTTTTAAACTCATTGTTTTCACTCAATGAAAAGTTGATCAGACTGTTTCAATTGAGATATTTCTAAGTCTGTTTTCAATTGAAAAGTTGATCAGACTGTTTCAAAAGAAGAATAAAAGACTTTTGTGTATAAAATACCTGATTTTTTTCACACTAGTTCAGTAACTAGATTAGATTTTTGAAGAGAATCTAATAAACTAAAATTGATTTTTGAGATAAATCAATAAAATCTTTACAATCTCTTTCTTAAGATACAGTGAGAAAAAGTATGATATCAATTGATAATAAATCAGATAATATGACAGTTTTTGAGAGAAAAACTGATAAAAAATAAATCAATTTTTTGCAGAGAAATTGATTAAAACTATTCAAATTTATTCTAAATCATTCAATTCTTCTCACATAATAAGTGTGCAACTCAAATCAGTTAATAAAGAGTGTAAAAAAGAATTAAGTATTAATAAAAGCTCTTCAGTTACTGAAAAAGTAATTCTTACTTAAAAGAATATGAAATTATAACAGAAAACAACTCTGTTTTTAATTCTTTGTAAGAATATTGTATAAAATTCAGAGAAAAACATCTTACTTTTTCAAGAGAAGTAAAAAACTATTTCTAAGATCTTTTTTTTGCATTAACTGCTGCAGAAGAATGAGATAGAAACTGCTAAGATATACACTACTGTATATCTTCTATCAAGACTTTCTCTCTTCAGAGTCTTGATATTATAGAGAATATAAGTCTGTTTCTATATAATAATATAAATATTGTCAGCAGGATGTAGAGGAACTGGTTATTTATATCTCAATATAGAAGACTTTGTCAATGATTATATCAATATAGAGTTAATTCTTAAATTTAATAGAAATCTAGTGTTGCTGTTCTCAATTCCTTGCAGAATCTATTGAATATTAAGATATTAAAACTAGATTTAATATATCTCACTATGCAGAGATCAAAGGCTCAGTCAGATCTTGAAATATACTGATTTTATAGTTGTTGATGTGCTGTTGACTCATTGTTCACTGATTATGTATTGAATACTGTTGCTGAGGTATCTTTTTGTATCATTCTGCTGAGGATGGGCCAGATTGAGAGGGGTAGTACAAGGGTGAGACTTGGTGTTGAAGTCTAGATACACTGGCGACAGACCATGGAGGTTGCACTTCAGAAGAGTCTGTTGATTATGTGCTTGATATTATTGCCGAGGTATCTTTTTGTATTTTTCTGCCGGGGATGGGCCAGATTGAGAAGGGCGGTACAAGGGTGAGACTTGGTGTTGGTGTTTTGGAACATCAAAGATGGACAGGGTTTTCGCGGAGGTCACTCCTTGAATATCTCCACAACTACAGTTCAGGGATCTTCCAAAATTGAGAAGATTGGTGCATATGACTAGGTCACTTCACCTTACAGTTTGTATGGCACTCTGGCCTGGGGTTGTGATGTGATAGGGGAGAACAGGGGATAATCTCACACAGGAGTTTTGAACAATGTCTGGTTCATATTTGGCTGGATAACTTCACCATCACACAGGGTATGCGGTCAGCGATGGGGTCAGAATGCTTGTATGATTGAGGACTTTTTGATGAATCTATCAGCAGGTTCTTATTCAACAAATCAAGCAAGTTTGTGATGAAGCAGTTGTGCTTTTTATTGATGAGATCAACTCAACTTCATTCTCTGAGAGAAATATCACATCATTTTCTAGAGTGTGTACATCTCTACTCTGACAGAAATCTGAGATTTCTGAATCTGCTGTATATTTTGATATGAGCTCTTCAATTACTCTATCACTGCTGTGGCCTCTACACACCTACATCTATCATAGAGATAGAGAGATTAAGATCAGAGATTCTTCAAGATATAAGAGAAATATCTTATCTGAATTTCACAGCTTTATCTGTACTCTTGAATGAAAATTCTGTCTTAATCTGAGCCAGTATAATACTCATGAGATATAAGTAATAGACACTGTCAACCTTCTTGAAGACATCTCTGTGACTACTTAAGTCATTAAGAAGAGAGAGCTTGAGTGTATCAATACTATTATAACTTGAAAAGAATTCAAGAACTTTCTACTGAATTAAATTGAAGATTATCATAATCACAGCTTCATAGTAATACAGTGATTCAACTTATTATATTAATAAGATGATAAGAATTCTTTCAATTTCAATATAAGATTTGAAGAATATTGAAAGAAATTAACTGATGATTTGAATCAATTAAAAATACAGCTTTATCTCACAAAGCTGACTCATAAGATATGAATAATAATATTATAATATCAGAGTTTATTAATCAATTGTACTGAGCTTGCTAACCTGGCTTTCTGAATCTATTTGAATAGTTAATTCTTTAAGAAAAAGACTAATAAGATCTCTTCTAAGTAATTAATAATAGAATCTAAACAGTGCTGTAACAGCTTCAGTATGAAGAAAGTAAAGAAGAATTTCAAGTATTCTGATTCTTCACTCACTGTGAAGAAATATTAAAAAAGATTTGATAAAGATCTCTATTTCAACTGCAGAGCTGATGATCACTATATCAGTGATTATAAGAAGCTGAAGAAGAAAAGAAATTAAGAAAATATCTTCTCAAAGTTAACTTCTCTTCTAACAAATATATTCATAGAGAATAAAGAAGAGAAAGAAATAAAGAATTAATAATTCTTATATCTCTGAGTTCATGTTATAATCATAATGTATATCTTAAATAAGAAGATATCAGTGAGATGTCTACTTAACTCTGAGATGAATATTAACTTCATATTCTATTTCTTTTCTTTGATGAAGAGTTGAAAGAAGATAGATCTGTCAGATCATATGAAATTTACTGATGAAATAAAATGTCACTATTTTAACATAATTCAAGTGAAGTATGTGATCACAGACTTAGAAGAAATCTTCAAGAAAAGCAGTCTGCTTCTTCACACAGTGAATATTATAGATGAGAATATTATTCTAAGTCTTCTGTGATTGAGAGAAAACAATTCTCTCATTAACTGAGTTACTCAGATGTGACAGTACTATCTCACTAATGAAGAGACAGTGATAGAGAAATCTGAAGAGTTTCATCAGAAGAATCTTAAGAAAAAAATAGAGTTAATATACTGTGTAGCAGATGATTGAAACTTAGAGATAGATAAAGAAGTCATCACTCTTACTGCAAGATTAGCAGCAGTATCTATTATTAAAGATGAATATACACAATGTCTCTTTACAGATTTTAAGAATATCTTTTCAGAAAGAAAAGCAGTGAAGTTTTCTGATATCAAGATATAATATAAGATTTATCTTGAAGATGATGTAATGATACTGTACAGACTTCCTTATAACTTATCTGTAAAGAAATTGAATATTCTGTGCAAATATCTTGAAGAAGTACAATCAAAGAACTGAATACATTCATTAAAAAGTCTGACAGAGATACTTATACTCTTTATACTCAAGAAGAATGACAGACTATGTCTATGCATAGACTACAGAGGCCTTAATAAGATGACAGTTAAGAATCACTATTTATTATCATTGATTGATGAGATAATCAATTGATTATCTGAAGTAAAGATGTTCTTAAAGATTGATATACAGAATATCTATTATAGAATCAGAATTAATGAAGATAATATTTAAAAAACAGCTTTTCATATCAAGTATAATAATTTTGAATATCTTGTTTTATCTTTTAATCTTTGTAATACTTCAGTCATCTTTCAGATCTATATAAATGAGACACTGCAGAGTTTTATCAATATCTTCTATATAGTATACTTAAACAACATTCTAATCTTCTTAAAAATGAAGAAAGAATATGATACTCATGTTCAAGAAGTATTAAGTCACTTAAGACAGTATTAACTCTATATAAACACTGAAAAATGCTCATTCTACATGCAGGAGATTGATTTCTTAGATTATATTATTAAAGTAAATGATATTTCAATGAATAGAAGCTGAGTCTCTATTATTAAGAACTGATCAGTGCTGTAGATATACTGTGAGATATAGATATTTCTAGAATTTGTGAATTTCTGTAGATAATTCATCTATATATATTCACAGATTACTGTCTCTCTTACAGATCTGTTAAAGAAAAGTGTGAAAGATAGAAAAATAGAACTATTTATTCTTATTCAAGACACTGCACAGATGTTTATAGAATTGAAATAAGCTTTTATAGATATTATAATACTGAATCACTTTAATTCTGATTTACTCAGTCAGTGTAAGACTGATACATTCAGAAATGAGATCTATGAAATCTTTTCACAATTAATACTAAAGATCTTTCAATATTAAAAGAATCAGAGAATAATTACTTCTGAGAAAATAGATAATGAATTATCTATGAGAGAAGGCTTTTTTACAGAGTCTATAAAACACTATAAATAAAGATCAGTGATCTTCTTCTTTGAGAAATTATCACTTATACAGAGAAGGTATAATACTCATAATCAGAAAATGTTAGTAATTATTAAATTCTTTAAGATTTAATAATATTATCTTCAGAGTAGTAAGTATTCAGTGTAAGTTCTCACTAATTATACAAATCTGCATTACTTCTTAACAATAAAGAACTTGATAGAATATTAAGTTAGATAAGTAAAGCTGCTTTCAGAGTATAATTTCTATATCTGATATTATTTAAATTGACTTAATCTTATTAATACACTGTTTAAACAGTCTGATTATAATATTATTAATATGAAGAAGAATTCTATAAAAGAATCTCTATCATCACTGCAGAAGAAGCTGACTACAGAGAGTTAAAATTCTCTATAGCTCAGAAACAGTGCTGAAAAGATAGCTGTATAATTCAGTATAGAAGATAAAAGAAAACTCAGATTCTCACAGAGAACTGATACTGAAGATTATAAGCTTCTTATATTATATCTTACTATTATTGAATTAGTAAAGAATGAAATAGTCTACAATCTTTCAATCTAACTACTTTTAAAATTCATTGATAAGTTATAGAAGAGAGATATCTCTACTGCAGTTTAAATTCAGAAGTTAAGAGAGAAAGAATTTAATTTAAACTTGAAAGAGACAGACTCTAAGCAGAGCAGTGCTGCTAAGAAATTAAGTCATTAATAACTAGAAGAATATAAACTTCTACTATTAAATAATTCAGTCTTTATTTCTCATAGCAGAGCAGTGTGTTAGAAGTTATTAAGAATTTATTATAATAATTCTCATACAGAGTACTTTAAGTTAGAGAAGACTGAGAAGCTTCTAAAATATAAATATATTTAAAACAAGCTCTGAGCAGATATTAAAGAGTATATTAAGACTTATAATATCTATTAAAGAATAAAGATTCTGTGATATAAGTAATACAGTAAGTTAATATCACTATCTATTTTAAAAAGCTTATAATAGAATCTATTAATGAATTTCATAGTTAATCTACTGAAGTTAATAAGAGTCAAAGAATATAACTTAATTTTAGTTATTATTAACTACTTTATAAAGATAATCAGATATATTTCTATTTATAAAAAGATTAAAGTCTCTAAATTAACTGATCTATTTTTAGATATTATTATTTCTAATTACAGTACTCTGAAATTGTTAATAATAGATTAAGAATCTCTCTTTATCAGTAAATACTAATCAGCTTTTTACTATTATCTTATAATAAAATGTCTTCTCAGTACTGTATTTCATCTGTAGATAGATGATTAGACTGAATATCAGAATTAAATACTAGAATAGCATCTTTAAGTATTCTATTTATCTTATTAGAATAATTCACTTAAATATCTTTTAACTACTGAATTTATATATAATAATGTAAAGAATATAATCTTAAAGATATCTTCTTTCTATACTTATTATAAATATAATTCTTTATTATTCAGTAACATTGCAGATAATATTTCAAAGAGAAGAATAAATAGTTAGAATATTAAAAAGATACAGAGAATAGAGTATTTCTCAGTATTAAAAGTAAAAGCATGATTGAAACTTTTAAATAAAATTTATAAGAAGATGATAAAAAGTATCTACTATACTCAGAAGTAGTAGATAAAATACTATAATTAAAAACATCTTTTAATAAAGTTCTTAATAGAGAATTAAATACTACTTTTAATAAAGAATATTAAGATAATAAGACTGTATAAGAAGCTTAGTAAGTAGTAACTAGAATCTTTCTCAATAATAAGAGTAATAAGTAAGTAAATATATAAGTTAAAATTACTTACAGAATTGAAATTAATTCATTCTATTTTTCATATTTTCTATTTAAAACTCTATAAGTAATACTCTGAAGTAGAGCTGTCTTAGCTGAATAATATTAAAATTAAAAGTAATACTGAATATCTTATAAAGAAAATATTAAATAAATAAATATATTACAGTAAGCTTTAATATCTTATAAAATAAGAAGATTATTTATTATCAGATAATTTATAAGAATTACTTAAATATTTGAAAAATACTGAGAAAGAGATTATAAGTTATAAGATAACTAGTAGAGATTACTCTATTATATATCAGAGATATTAAGTAAGAAATACTGTTTAAAACTTCTTATTTTTTCTTAAAAAGTTTTTAGAGATAATCTTACAGTAATAAGCTGATATTTTATAAGCTTTATAGCACTCTTCTTCTATTTTCTCTTAAAGAGGTTTTTTAGAAGTTTAATAAGACTATATAAGTGTAAAATTTCTGAAGCAGTTAATAAGAAAAGAAAGAGATATTTGAAATTAATAAAAAAGATTAATATTATTAACTTATAGATTACTGCTATTCTAATAAAACTACAGCTTATTAAAAAAGTAAAAAGAGAGAATTTCAGAGTCTACTTATTAATAATCATACTTTTATTAAACTCATTCTTCACTGTTAAAGTCTCTGATATTAGTATCTTTATCTGCTGAGAAGTTAGCACTGCAGTACTGCAGAGAAGTATAAGAAATGTATAAAAATATTAACTTATTAACTTATAAAGTATCTCAGTTATCTGCTTTAATTAAAGTAAGATTCTCTTTAATCAGTGATTAATCTTTATAGTACTTTTAATAGTAGTACTGACTGATCTCTTCTTAAAGTCAGTTATTCTGAGATATTTTTTCATCTCAGAGATTCACACTTTCATCTTTTTTTACAGATGAGTAAGAGAGATCTTCTCAGTCTTAATAGAATCTGTCAATATTTAGAGCTTCAAGACTCTTACTCTGTACTGCTTGAGTATTTAGACTTCTTATCAGAGCTGATATAATATCTTTCTGTAAGATAATACTTACAGAGAGACAGAAGTCATTATTACAGATATAATAGAAATAATAAAAGTAAGAGAAGAAGCAGATGTATAAGATTTCTTTCTTCTTCAGCTGCTTAATGCAGTGTAGATAAGTAGCAGTGCTGATCAGAGACTGTATCAGAGCCTTCTTACAGAGAGAAGATAAAGAAACTACAGAACTCTGTGAACTCAACTCAGTAGCAGTCTGAGCAGGGCTCAGATGTGCTGCAGGAGAGGAACTACAGATTGAGCTTCTCAGAGTCACTATTCTCAGAATCAAGCTGTCTCTGAGTTTCTCTCTGAATGACCACACGGGGTCATACATCACTGTATTGACTGAGGGGGGGGAGCAGTGTTACAACAGTGATGAGGAGAGCAGAGAACAGACTGGACATAGATACACCAGCTGGCTGAAGAGATGACACCTCACTGCAAGGTATGGCAACTATCACCATGGCTGCAAGAGAAGCAGAAGAAGGTGTAGCAATGAGAGCAGTGCTTCTGCGGCTCATTGACACCACTGTCTCTGCCTTCAACCTGGCTTTCTTGACAGTCACAGAGACTGCAGCTGCATTACAAAGACATTTATTACTCACTAGAAAATATCAGAATAAGTCTCTTATTATCTCTCAAGAATGATGCTCTCATGCACTCACTATTACAGATGAGAGAGAGGAAAAAAAATGTGTCACAGAGAAAGAGATCTTTTTGAAAAATTCTGCTACTACTGTTAGCTTTGTCTCTAAAAATACATCACTTTTGCAGAGAATTTCATATATAGAACAGAATATATTAAGAGATCTGTAAGTCATCTATTAACTATGTTTTTCACATTTTAAATTAATATATAAGAAACTCACTTATTACATGTTTAATTTGAATGAAGATGAGAAAAGAAAGATCTACACAGTCAGTAGAAAAACTCATCTATTTCTTTATACAGTATATACACTGTCAATTGATTGATAATTATTACTATATAATAAAGATAATTTTTAATCTGATAATCTTGAGAGTATCAGAACTATATTCTTAAAGAAAAGAGTATTATTATATCTTTAACTGTATTAAGATCTTATTACAGTTTCACATAGCTTATTACTTTTATATAAATGATTTCATTTTATCTGAACTGGTTTTCAATCACTCTATAATATTATTTAGATATATTATAGAAAGATCTGATTAATAAATATAAGAACTCTACTTTTATATAAGATCAGCAGATTACTCTTTCTTAATAATAAGATATTACTGAGATATCACTTCAGCTATTCTTACTTATGAAATTAAAGAAGAGTATTCACTTATTATTTATATAGAACAGCTAGATACTGACTTCTTATTAAAGAAGTCAGTAATTCATTTTTCTTCTACTGAAATATATATAAGAGTTACTATGTATCTCATATAATCTTCTTAGTATACTAAGTACTATATCTGTGATATTCTTGTAATAACTCTGTAGTCTACAAGCTCACTATTTAAGCAAGATAGTTAAGCTCACTTATACAGCTTCTTAAATAACTATCTCTATATAATACTGCTGACTAGTCATCACTTCAGTTCTGTTATATTACAACTTACAAAGTTTATATACAATAACTTAAAGTATATCAGTATAGATAAAACTCTTTTTAAGATACTCACTGAGACTTATCTGTAAATAATCTTGATAAATCTGTGATAGTATACTATAAAGTATGATATTACTTATGAACAAGCTGAGAGAATTCAGAATATTTAAAAGAAAGTCTGTGAATTCTTAAGAAAGACTTAAGAGTATTCAAAGAGATATTATAACTCTAAGTATATTATAAAATATTTTAAGAAAGATAATAGAGTCTGACTGAGTCTTAAAAACATTATTATATAAAGATTTAGTAAGAAGCTGATTCTCTTGCAGACAGAGTCTTATAAGATTATAAAGAAAGTTAACTTATAGTTCTATAAATTAAAACTATTATCTGAGTTATAGATATACAATGTTTTTCATATCTCTTTACTCTATAAATACAAGAAATTCTCAGAAGAGAATTCTGTAACTTATTACTCTATTTACAAAGTACTAGAGAGTAGACTGATTATATTATTATATCTAAGACCAGAATCAAACTTTACAGTTATCATATTACTTAAAAGTATTACTTCTGATCATAATTTATATTCATTACATTGATTTTAAATCATATTATTTTAAATATTAAAGATCTCAGATTCACTTTTCAAATAAAAATCTAGTCTCAGATAAAGAATATGTTTAAATTCTTAGTCACATTTTCATTCTGATCTCATTATTGAAAATAACATTAAATAAGATTATGAAATCATTTCTCACTTACATAATATCATAACATAGTACTCATTTGTTGAAAATTCAATAGAGAGTATTATTAAATATTATTACTTTTCTGAACACAGATCATAATTAATATCATTTTAATTAAAAAAAAAATATAAAATACAAAAAATAATAAAAAATAATAAAAAAATAAAAAACAAAATAATAAGAAAAAATCACAATAAAAAAAAAAAGAGAAAGAAAAAAAGAGAGAAAGAAAAAAGAGAAAGAAAGAAAAGAAAAATAAAATAAAAGAAAAAGAAAAAAATAAAAAATAAAAATAAAAAAAAATCAAGATCACAGAGCTGCAGTATCTCTAAAATACTTACTCTTCAGAGTCTTTACAATATTTATTATTAACTGTGTATTTCTCACAGTGAGAGTAATACAGCTGCAATGAGTTATTATCTTAACATTATTTAATAAATAATTAGTATATATCTATATAAATATGAATAATTAAAAAACATATACTTAAAAAATGTGATCAGAGTGAACTCTGCTGCCACTTGAATAGTATTAAGAACAGAATACTGAAATTAATGATTTCTCTTATCAATTTCACAGATAAGATGTGTGAAGATACTCTTGAAAAATATAAAATTTCCTGACTTCTGATAGAAACAGATCTCATGAAGAGACTCTATTTTCATCATATCAGAGACTGAGTATTACTAAAAAGCATTACTTTAATTTATATATACTTACTACAGTAATTCACTCTCTGTATATATAACTGAGAATTATGACTTTCTCACATTACATAGCTCTCTCTGAGATGCTGCTGCTAATTTACAACTTACACAGTCTCTCAGTTCAGTACACACTGCATATATACAGTTCTGCATGCTGAGACTGTGTTGATCATTATAATCTGATATGATACTTGCTTTTCACAGATCATGTTTCATTTGATTGAGAGAGAAGAGAGAACACAACTGCTGTTTTATTTGAAAAGAAGTGAATAATTGAATCTGTAGAAGATAATTTAATTTCTTCTGTATTTAAAATTTAATTAGTCTATACTCTTCAATTTGAGAGTTTCTGAGAGTGTTTTAATAGTTTTCATATCAGCTTGAAATTAGTGATTGATTGAAGAAGAGAAAAGAGAGAAGAAAGAAATAAGAATAACTTATCTTTATAATATAAAAATAGAGAATTACTATAATTATTTAGTGTAGTAATAAAGATCTGTTTTCTGCATGTATCTCTGATACAGATTATATGATAACTGTATACAAAGAATATCAACAGTGCATGTATTAAATGAAGATAATATTACTATATAATACTGTAGCTGTTTCTGTACATTGCTGAAAGCTGTTAATATTTTCTTTAAATCTCTTTATATTTAATAAGTTAGTAATATATTTCAATGCACTTCTTCTTTCATTATTATTATCATTATTATTATCATCATCATTATCATTACTATCACTATTATTATTATTATATTATTTCTGACTGTCTCTTCTGCCTTCATCTCTTTTTAATACTCACTGAAATTAATTATATCATCTCTCTTTAAATATTCTGCAGTTCTGTGAACTATCAAGGTGTGTGAGCACTGTCACAGATTGAAGAGAGAGAAGAAGAAGATATTCAAGTAAGAGAAGACAGATTGTAAAATATATTATAATATCTTGAAGAGACTCTGTAAGAGAGTAGAATAATAACAATTTTAAGTAACACTTCTGATAGATTTAGACTAAACTAAGTATAGAAATAATATGAATGATGCTGTCTGTGAGAGATTAAAGAAGAAGACAGTGAAGAGTCTTATACAGTAGTAGTGAGATCAGAAGAAGTTCTGAGAATGATTTAAGACTAAGATGAAGAGAGAGAGAGAGAAGAAGAGTATTACTATAAATAAACAGTGATAGAAGAAGATTAAGAAGATGTTAAAGTGAGAGATAAAGAAGTCAAAACTGATAAGTTTTTTATTTATTAAGAGATAATAATTTTTAATAATACTTCTGTTCTCTAATTGATTAGCAGAAGCTGATAGAGAAGAAAAGAATTGAGGTCTTATTCAGATCTCAAATGCACTTCATAATTCAGAATATTGAGAAGGCAGCTCTGCTCTCTGAGCATGTCAATCTGCTTACTACTGAGACAAATCCTGAGACAGCAGATCAGCAAATACAGGATTTTGAGATACAGATTAATCTGACTGAGAAGAAGCAGTGAGAACTCTTCTCTAAGAAGACAGTGAAGAGAGATTTTGAGATGATTATTATCTTAGATGAGAAGAAGAAGAAGAAGAAGTAGAATAAGAAGTAAATTATGAAGAATGATAAGAAGAATGAGAAAGAGTAGAAAGATAATGAATAGAAAAAGTTTTTTTCTTTTTATATTAATTAGTTATAAGTTCATAATTATTAATAATTGAAATTAATTTTAAGTTTTTAAAAATTATTATACAAGTTGTAATCAAGTCAGGAATAATATATATATATATATATATTTAACTATCATGATTCACAAATCACTATAATGTATAAGTATTAACATTTTTTCAACATTGATATTCATAATATTAATATATTTTTAATAATATTATCTGATAATGCAATTTGATAACACTCTCTTTCATAATATTAATATATTTTAAGAAATATGACAGAGATTAATCAAGATTGTTTATTTACTTTTATACATTGATAATATTCAATCTGAGTTAGTACTAAAATTATAATGAAGTTAAGAAATAAGATTATTTTCTCTTATATTAATTCTTCTTACACACATCAGTGATCAGTTATTAAAAATAAATTATTATCTTTTTTAAATTATTATTATATCTTCTGAATTCACTTCTTTCAGTTCTTTTACTTCTATTAAAGATTCATAAACTCTTTAAGAAATCACTGTGAATCACAAAATCTATATTATTTACAATTTAACACAGAATACTCTCTTTTAATTATGATAAATAATCACTTCATTCTTCATATCTGATTTCAGATCATAAAATTTATAAAAAACTCAACACAAACACTGAGATAAACTATGAAATAATTATTAATAGATTGTATTATAGATTACTGAAGAATTCTCTCTCTGCTACAATTACTACAACTTTATTCAGAAATATTCATTATAAACTGATTATAACTCTGAAGAAATTTTTCAATATCTGAAGTTATCAGAATACAGATAATAAAAGAAAAATAATCAGAAAATTACTACTGAGCTGATAAGTTACTCTATCAGATAATAATTTTTGATAATACTAACTTTCTAATTTGAAGAAAATTATGTGAAAATAATTATATATCAGTACTCTGATTTTATA